TTGTATCAATACTGACTCTCCAGCATCAGCTGTTGGTGGGTAATCAGGTTCCGCCTGTACAGTAACATTAGCATAGGCCACACCTACTGCTCCATCACCATCAGTCACTCTCAACCTATTAAATATTAATTAATTTAATTAATTTATTTATTTACTTGAAAACGTATTTTCCAACATTGAGATGTTCCAGTGTTAGTAAAGGTTGGGTCCAATAATCTCGGTTCCCTGAGACCCGCTGTAGGGGGCTACTGATTAAATCCCACTGGTAAAATAGAGTCTCTCCTTTAGGTCCATCATCACTTGTTTCTATGGCAATACCATGACAACAGACCACACCTATTAGTACTTACTTGAGGCATCTAGTATTAGTCTATCGGAAGGTTTAATAGTGATGTTAGTACTGGGGGATATGATAACAATAGGAGCCTTGTTGACATGGGGTTCTAAATAGAATGCTGTTATTATTATTGTTGTTACTTACATCCTACCTGGTCTAACTGTAATGTTAACAAAATCTCCTCTGTATAATTTCCTTCATCATCATAAACTAATACTTCAAGACCGTATTTACCAGCAACCAACTGTAGAATAAAATTTAGCATACCATGAATTTTTCATGTACGTGTATCAGTGATATGTCAACTATCACAATGTGTCATTATTATAGGCTAGAGGCGTCTGAATGTCATCCCACTGGGGCAGCTACTGCTATTAATACCTTATTAGGTAATAGTATATGTTTAAAGGTGACCCTGCAGCAAAATGGCATCAAGCAAGCAAGCAAGAATGTTCCCTATTATTTTAGGTGAGTTTATCTTTATTTCTTTTAGTATGTGTTTACTTTATCATTAGATATTAGCAAATTAAATGAGATTATAGAGATTTTGAAGCAATACAACTTTTCTGAAGCTAAATGGTTTGAGTTTGGGTTAAAACTTGGTCTAATTCATCCTACACTGGAAGCTATTGATGCTAATCATAGAGGAAATACTTCACATTGTCTGATGGAGTGTTTATCCAAGTGGCTGAGTAAAGCACATCACCCTACTTGGCAGACATTGGCTAGTGCTCTTAGAAAATTGGAAGCAAAAGCAGTGGCTGAAAATATTGAGAAAACAAGTAAAGTCAATTATTCTAATTAAAAGACTCAAATTTATCTCTAAAGTGGTTGATCCTGCTAGCCAGCTACTACAGCATTACAGTAGTAGAATATCTGGAGCAACACTCTCTGAAGAATCAGTTCATCTGTTACATACAGAAGGACTGATATCTGAAGAGACATTGAGGGAAGTGAAGAGTTGTGGATACACACTAACAGATGATGCAATGAGAGAAATATACACAGCAGTAGCTTATGATCATAACAAATTGAAATCATTTGCTAGCATATTAAAATCAACAGGCACTGTTAGTATAGCCAATGACTTAATGAGAGACTGTGGTGAGAAACAATAATGTTTAATGAAATTTATGCTTCTTTTCAGAGGACATCTTTGAGGCAGAAAATTCCACTAGTGGTTTTGGAGCACACAATGAATCAAGTATTGTTGCACCAATAATAGGTAATTATCAAAAAATAATTAACAAGCAAAAAATAATTGTATGTTTATAG